AGTATTTGGGGAATGAATGCAGAAACTTTAGTGAGAGATTGCCCAAATGATTCTGAATCTCTAAATCCTCTGAAAATATTTTATTTATTTCTTGGTGTAAACCACTGGTTTCCAAAAGTTGGAATAATGCCTTGATGGGTTAACTTAATTCTGTCTGAAAAGCTTCTTTGTAGTGGCCTCTGTGAATGCACACAAATGGGATGTTCAGAAGATTCTAGACCTTTTGGAAAAGAGAAACAATTAGGTCCCCCCCCCCTTTCAGGGTATGAACTCTGCCTCCTCAACCTTCCTTTCAGTTCCCCTAGTCCGCGGTTACCATATAACAGGGGTCATCAACCCCCGGTCCGCGGCCCAGTGCCGGTCTGTGGGCTTGCCGGAACTGGGCCGCGGACATGGATCTTCCCCCCCCCGTACGCATGGGGGGGCGTGTCGTGCTTGCTCGTGCTAATAGTCAGTGTAACAATGTGCTAACCATTCCCCCAGTGCCCCTTCCAGGAGAGCAGCACCCCTTCCCTGCGGTGAAGCTGCTGCGTGGCAGCCCGCCCGGGAAGTGCTGATGGCCCAGCGCCACCCCACCCAGGGTGAGCAGGCAGGCGGGAGCAGGAGTGCGATCCTGCTGCTTCCTGCCCGGCTGACTCCTGCTGAACAGGAATGGTGGGCCGGGCCGGGCTGCACAGGGTGCTGCTGCTTGTATGTGGAGCCTTGGAGGTTCCGGGAAGGCGGCTTCCCCACTGCCACCGCCCCTGAGTTCGGCTCACCTTCTGGGGCCTCCCGTTGAAGCCTCGCTCCCGCCCTTGCAGCGTCAGCTCTGTTGCTGGCCGGCAGCCCTTGCCTCCGCCTTCTCCCATAGGGGAAGCATCCCCCGCCAATGGAGCCCCACTTCCCTCGCCAATGGTCCATTCTTTCCATCACAACCTTGCTCCTGCCCTTGCAGCGGCGGCTCCGTTGCTCATGGCGGCACTGCCCGGCAGCCCTCACCTCCTCCTTCTCTGGTAAGGGGAAGCATCCCCCGCCGCCTGAGCCCCACTTCCTTCACTGACGGTCCATTTGGGCGGCTGGTGTGAAGACAGCAGAGCGACTCTGGATCCGGCAGCACCACAGTCGCCCCTTCAAGGGGTGTCACTGGCCCCGTCTCTGCCGGGGGCCCCCAGGGCAGGAGCGGCATCTGCTGCTGTTTGTCAGGTGGGTCGGGTTGGAAAGAGCCACCACTTCCTTCACGCCAGCCGCCAGAATGGACCCCCCCTGTCAAGGCATCACTTCCCTGTGGGGGATCTG